CAAAATAACGAATTAACATAAATGAAGTCCAGCTGACCCCAGTACGCTCTTTGCGTGTGGCACTATGTTGGCACTTACCCAGTCTTCCAGTATCCCCGCTCTGATATTCAGCCCCCCTTTGCAGTAGTAGTCCCGTGGTTAAGTATCCAGAGCCACACAATGCCAATCAAACATTAGAGCCACGCCTTCGCGGACTGCGTCACGGATTATGGACGAATCGGAGTGAAGCGAGGCTTCCTCGTTTCCGCCTAATGGAGGAGGAGAGAAGAGCGCTCAGATGAAGGTGTGTGGGAGACAGAGGGGGAGAATGAGAGCATTTAAGACAGTTCATTAACCAGTTTGGACAGTTTGATCAATTGACACATCGTTGAGTTTACACAGCCCGGCAAAACAAGGATCTATCTGTCTGTCTGTCTGTCTTTCTGTCTGTCTGTCTGTCTGTCTATCTATCTATCTATCTATCTATCTATCTATCTATCTATCTATCTCGTTGTGTCTCAGTCTATCTGTCTGGTGATTCACTCAGTTAACGCGCTTTCACGGGTCACCCGTTATTTAGAAAGTGGGGCGCTTGACAAAAAAGCCACAAAATCCGGTTTCAGTTAATAGTCACAAGAGGGCACACTTTCCTACAAAACATCTAACATCTAAGCGAAAGACCTGCACTGTGTGTGTGTGTTTGAAATGAAAGCTAGCATTAGATACATATTTCTCTCATTTTTGTCCTCTTTCTCTGATTTTTTTTCTCTTTCTTTTTGTGAGTGGTTTGTGGGTGGTCTGTGGGAAACGCACAAAGCTGCACCATTACTGCCTTTGGTATACTTATAAACCCAATTCCAAAAAGGTTGGGAGGGTATGAGAAATGCTAATAAAACAGTAAGCAGTGATTATTAAATTCTCTTTCACTTTAAGTAAATTGAAAATGGTACAAAAACTCAGCATTTTATGTTTTACTTTACAAACTTAAATGTTTTTGTAAACATACACACATTCCAAATTTGATGCCTGCCATACATTCAGAAAGTTGGGACAGGAGCATGTTTATCATTGTATTATATCACCTTTCCTTTTTACAGTACTTTTGGGGTCCGAGGACACTAGTTCATCCAGCTTTTAAAAGCAGAGTTTTTTGTCATTCTGTAGTTTAGTTTTACAAGTCTACAGCTAAGCAAGTGTACAGGGCCTTCGTTGTCATACTTAGAGCTTAAAGCGCCACACATTTTCAGTAAGTCTGCACGCAGGCCAGTCTAGTACTTGCACTCTCTACGCAGCCGTGCTGCTGTAACATGCAGATTGTGGCTTGTTGTCATGTTGAAATAAGCATGTGTGTTCCTGAAAAAGACAAGCTGAAGCTGAAGCCCAGAGAAATCGGCAGCATTTCTGGATGTTCCGCCATGTCTAATTACAGGCTTAACAGTCTTAACAATGGACAGTGTTTATTGACATTGGTTTGTCAAAGTATTCCTGATCCCATGTAGTAATATCCATCAAAGAAGCCTGCTGGTTTTTAATGCAGTGCAGTCTGAGGGGTTGAAGGTCACAGGCATTCAGTTGAGGCTTTCAGCCTTGCTGTTTACACACAGAGATTTCTTCAAATTCCCTGAATCTTTTGATGACATTATGTTCTGTAGAGGATGAAATACCTAAAATCCTTGCAATCACTCACTGAGGCACATTATTCTTAAACTGTTGGATTTTTTGCTGATGCATTTTTTGGCAAGCCTCGATCCGTCCTTGCTAATAACGGACAAGGCCTTTTCTGGACGCTCTTGCTTTCATATGCAAGCAAGATTGCATCACCTGTTTATGTTTTTGAAGATTTTACAATGTTCATAGTTTTAAATTGCCCCTGTCCTAACTTTTTTGGAACCTGTTGTAGGCATCACTTTCAGACTGAGTGACTGTTTGCAAAAAACAATGAAGTTGATAAGAAAAACCCAATCCATTCAGTCCATATTTGTAAACTAAGCTGCAAAAACAGCCTGTTTTGAAAACATTAATGTGTTTGTAATGTTACAAAACAAACACATTGATGTATATCTGCCTGTTCAGCCTTACAGCAGTTTAGCTCTGTTTTGTCACACTAATGTTATAAGGAGTGTTTCAGCTTTGACTGCTTTTTGAATGAGGCACAATAAAGAGCAGCCAATCAGAACAGAGCCTATTTATATATAAATCAGTCTTACAGGCACAGTAACAAAAGCAATCTATTTAATTCTAAGTGATAAGGTTGCAAAATAGTAATCCATCCATCATCTAAACCGCTTATCCTTCTGGGTCGCGGTGAGGTGCTGGAGCCTCTGTCAAAATAGTAATGTAAAAATGAATTCTGGCTGTTCTTAGTATATAAGCCCACACAAATGTGATGAGAGGAAGCCAGTATAGAAGAGTAACACAGAAGACAAATGTAGGTTATGGGCTCTATAAGGCTGATTTCAGGTGCACATACAGCAGTATATAGCTACGATCATACAGAAGTAGAATACAAAGATAACAATATAATGGGTGTGTGTAACAGAGAAGAGTGAGTGTGATTGTGTGTTGGTGTATTGTGGGTTGGCACACTGATGCAAATAAACAGAAGACCTCTACTTACTATGTAATTAAAAAAAAAGACATTGTGTACGAAAATAAACCAGTGCTTTGAAAGCTGGGTCACCCTGGGCAATTCCATGCTCATGTGATGTATTTAAGCCTCTGATAGTAATGTGAAGATACAGCTACTGAGCAAATAAAGGTTGTGAAAATAGGGTATATAGTTGACCATAAAGCAAATATTAAACTGCTGATCTGGATATGTAGCTGGCAGGTCTGTTCCCAGGAGTGAACTATTGACAAATGTCACTGTCAGAGTACATCACATCAAGATGTTCAAACAGCCAAAGCACACCTGTGGTTTTGCATGTTTCCTTAATAGACACCACAGTGCAAAAACAAATAAGCATCTATTAGTCATTTTCCTGTATTTTCCAGTGTCAAAAATAAGATGAATCTTTTATCATCCTATAAGATGTTTCATTAATCACTTTACAGGTTGATCTGGTGACGCTGTATTGCAAAGAAATTATCTTGAGGGGATTTAAACATTACAAATTGCCTAGAATACATAAGGCAGTAAAAATTGTCAACACTGAGACCATAACAAAGCAGGAATTATCTCAAGAGGGGCAGATGATTCTAAATAAAGAAGTGTGGAATTACAAGGTTTGATACATTTAAAGCTTACAATGAATGAGAAACATTACTGCTTTATTTCTGTAGCGTCCATACCACTGTCTTATGGTAAAACTGCTCATCTTTATGGCAAATGACTTCAGTTTGCCAGTGTAAAAACAACATATATGTATAGTACAAAAGTCAGAAATTACCCTTCATTTATTTATTTTATTTAATGTACAAGTTATTCATTTATCAGCCTCATATTTATTAGAAAATTACACAGAAGCCTCAACAAGTAAATATACTATTGGGTTTATTTTCAGTATTTAGTATGCTCACTCTTTGCCTTCATTTCGGGGGACTTGAGACTTTCAGCTTTCCAAAAGAAATCTACAGGGATATTTTCCCCTATTGGGGTGTTGGTTGCATTTTTGCTTCTCCTGATGCAAGTAACCCCAAACACACTCAATGATGTTTAGGTCTGGACTCTGGGTTGGTCAGTCCACTGTTCTGAGAACACCAGCAGCTTTTTGTTTGATTTGCAAATGTTCTTCTTTTTTGTCTGTTTCATTTTCTTAATAATGGCTTCTTGACACTTACACATCCATTCAGACTCATAGTTTCAGGCACATTTTTTTAGATCTTTCTTTAAATCTAGCAGGTCTTGCAAGGCTGTTAGGAGTCCCATTTTCTTTGTATCTTTTAATCAATTTTGAACTCCTTTTTCCCACTTATTTTCTTTTGAATTTCCTCTTCCTCATGAAAGTGGATTATGTTTTTGTATTTTTACATTAGCCGAATGTAGCATTAGGAGTTTACCCTCTTATTGGTGTAGCATATGGTGTGTTTGCTTAGGCAGGGAATCGAATCCCACTCTGCTGCGTGAAGAACAGTGGTGTTACTGACTACACTACACCAACCTGTATCTATGTTCTTCAGAAATATCTCCTGACTGAAACTGTAATAAATGAAGGGTCTTCTTAGTACACTGTTAAAAAAAAGCTACTGTGCAAGTACATTTTTCATTCATTAAGGTACAATGTAAATGTACCCACAAAGGTACAACAGTGGTTTTAAGGTCCAATTGTGTACCTCAAGTAAGTTTTTCCAGGTGAAAAGTACATATTTGTACCTTTTCATAACCTAATGTTTTAAAACAGAGCAATACAGTAAAAGGCCTGTAGACAAGACAGGGTGTGTGGAGTCCATACAACTTCATTTCAATAATTTCAATGGATTTTGGTACAATTATGTTCCTTTGAGGGTACCACCTCAGTGACAGTTTTGCACCTTTATATCTGAGAGTATACTATAGACCCCTTTCTGTATAACATACTGGCCTACACTGTGACATTCTATGGTATAAACATAAAGCAGTCTGAAAATGCTTATTGTGGCCTCTTTTTCTATTTTAAAGTTATGAATTGGACATGTGACATGTTGATGTTGACTAAGACTATGTTGTAAATGACCTTGTTTGCAAATTTAATTGTAATACATTAACATTATTGGGTAATTAGGTTAATTTCTGTGTACCATTTCAGCAGGGCTGTTCCAGCCACTGGCTATTATACAATCAAGTAGCCTGAGGCCACTCATTCCCTCTTAATCATCAGAAGTATCTAAACTTAGCTGCCCCAATTAGTTGACCCTGCCCTCAAAGTTAAAAAGTAATGCACTCACAAAAACAGAAACATTTCTGTGAACTTCACCTTTAAGTGTTAATTGAATTCAGTGGCCGAGTCAGATAGATACTACTTCCAGTAACTCAGCTTTTGCTCAGGTTTTATCTGTTCCAGACTGACACTGAATGTATAAGAACTTGTAAGAAAACAGAAGTATCACTTTCAAATATAGTGGTTTATTAGCACATTTATACTGTACAGTGAGTAACGTTTTCTCTTTATGAATATGGTTACAGTAAACGCGATGGACATAAATGCAGGAGGTCTATGTACAGAGGGGATGCTGGGGGACTGCATGCAATCAGTGACCCTTTACTGATCTTAGATGTACATAAATGAGGAGATTTCTCAACATGGATGCATTCAGAGGACCAAAACATTACAGACGTCCTGAATAGACCCATTGCTTTTTCTCACTCTTTAACAAACTATTATCAGTCTACTTGACATATCCACCCTGACATCCTTCAGCATTTTGTTCATGCTGATGATGGCAAAAGGATCGCAAAGATTCATCATATTAACATTGCTGGATTGCTGGCGGTACTCTTTGATGAGGTCAGATGTCGCTGAAAAAGTTGACTAGATGAGCACAGACACGTTCGGCTACAGACACTGGCTGCCATCACCACATCAATGGGTCATCGTATCTGTACATAAAAAAGTCAAAAGTCAAAACCTCTTAATACAGTTTTTCTGGGTATTAAAGTGAGTGAAGATAATTTTTTCATTATTATTTCAAAGCTCCTTTTACATCCTCTCAGTGCTAAACATAAGTACCCATCCCTTTATTGGATTTTCTTTGTGTTTCTTTATTAGTCATCCTGTGCTTGAGATTTTAAAGATATGCGTGATTAAAACCACTTGACAATGAGTGCTTCATAAACTCTGACTTAGCAGTATTTAAGTAAATTAATCACTTTTTTGATTGCTCTTAAAGTCTAACTTACAATGGAGGGGAAACTGATGTTATTGAAAATACACAAAATGTACAAGCCTGTCTCAGTCCTGAGCAGATTTCTAAACCTTACCTTGACTGCTGTCGGGTGTCTGTGTCTCCAAACAGCAGGTTTGAGGTTAATGCATCAGCGTTTGACCGTTTCCCATACCTGAGAAAGAGGGGGAAACAGGTAGGAGTTCATTTATGAAAGGAAAAGTTTTTATCCTGTCCAGAACTTAGCTTTCAAGCAGTCATTCACTTCATTTGCAATAATTGCACTGCAAGGGTACTTTTAGCACCAATTATGTTCATTACTGATTTTCTTTCTTTCTTTTTTTTCTTCTATGCAGGAAAAAATCCATTTCCACACTGCTTTTTTTCCACTACCTACACTGTATGATGTGTAATGTAGATTGTTGCCGAGGAAAGCAATTAGGTGACTTACATAGTGAGCTCTGTTTCAGTTAATTCGGTGAAACCTAACAATTTGCAGAAAACTTTTCAGAGGTCTGCTTCATTGAAGATAGCCCACATTTACTGACTCTTTCCTTTGGTAAGAAGGACCACGTCTTCACAAACGTAAGACTTTCACAGAATTAGGTGTCCATTTTTGTCATTTGTCCAAAAAAATGCAATTAAAAATCCACAGCCACCTCATTTCACAGTCGGCGTGTCTTTGAACAGCAAAAGAACTGCATTTAACAGAGGCTAATCTTTAAAGCGGTGAGTAGGAGGCTCTTAATTAGAGAATCAGTGGGCCATTCTTTGTGGATTAATAAAGGCCTCTTAGAGGAACATCAAAAAAATAAATAAACAGCCTAATTCTGCAGCAGCAGACCCAATTATGACACGGCATCCTCTGCATTGAAAAACATGTATTTGTTGTTTTAGGTAACCTGGTTGCCTTGTTGGAACTTTAACTGTAAGTCAACAACAGCAACATGGATTATATGTTATCTCATTACATTGGTGGTTCTAAGCTGTCTTGGCAAAGAAGAGAAGTTATGGTGTCAAAATTTATAACAAATGTGTGACATATAAGTGATGACGCTATTTGGCCACAGTTATTTTTTGTAATGTCTATCTGAAGGATTTTGTAGGATCATATACAAATGGGCACCCTGATCGAAAATAAGTCATTTTTCAGAAAATGTTACAGCACAGTTTCTTTTTATTTGCTGTGTTTAACATATTGGAAAAAATAAAACATAAAATGTGCTATAACTTTTGCACAAGCCACATTTTATGCATTTTATTCTAGCCCCGTATGTTAAATTCAGCAAATAAACAGTAATTGTGCATTAAAATGTGCAGATGTGTGTTCACTATAGAGGATGTGTTAACTTATTTTCACTTAGAAAATCAACAAAACAATTTGACCAGGGGTGCTTAAACTTTTGCATATGACTGTATACACTTTGAAGTAGATGTGTTGATATATAGTACTGCTCTGAAACCTTTTGGGTGGAGCCCACCTTAAAAAACAGATGTATAGCAATACTATGTAGCATTGTACAATACGGTTTGATAATAATTTGCACAACACGCCTATATTAACTTACAATAAAATCTTTATTATAACAATCTATAATATAATAGCGCAGCACAACACGTCCATTATAATCAATATTATTCTTGCTACGTATGACATTTTTGCAGTACTGTCTTATATTTATCTACAGTACTTTTGTAGTTTCCTGTACTACAGTAATTGTACAAATTTAGCTTACTAAAAGATTCCTGTAGTACTACTATATATCATTTTCATAAGAACTGTGTTCCATTGTACTATGTCAGGGGCAAAATAAACCACTGAGGCAAAGTGTTAGTGATCGGTAGGGATTTCCCACCTCTGCCTTGTGATGAGGTTGATATAGTGCCGCAGGGCGGAGTAATACTTGGCCAGCTCCTCGGCAGGCGCGTCCTCTCCGGGGTTGTCCGGTTTTGTTGGGTATCCATCCGCCAGCGCCGCCAGACACAGCAGGAGCGCGCAGGCAGCCCAGGCGAAGAGCACAGACAGCGGAGGACGCATCACTCACACTGAGAGAGCGAGAGAAAGAGAGCTGGAGAGAAACACAGAACAGGTCAGAACATCACCCTGTGGTAACTATTTTACTTAATAATATATAATAAAATAAGAAACACGAAGGAAAGTGTTCTTCTGAAAAGTAAATATGATTAGTAAAACATGAGAAATCTGAGAGAGGCTCCTGAAAGTCTGATAAAACTTCCTAAGGAGGAGCGAACAAGACGATAGAGAACGTTATCCAAAACAATACAATTGTAAAATGCATAATATTACATTCTAGAAATAATATTTTTTTAAAATACACTTCAAAATAGCAAAACAACATGTACTACAATACTAAAACCAAATACATTTAAAGATAAAGGTATTTCTACCTCGTGTTTTCTTGTCATTGAACCTAAAACTGAGGTGTGAAAGCCTTCACACTTCAAACTGAGAGACAGTTTTGTGTTTTCCTAGAAAAATACAGACAGATTCGGAGTTCGGTAACTTACAGTGAGATGAGCTTCAGGTGGTCTTCTGTCCGTGACTGGCTCGTGGTTTTTCGGTTCTGAATCGCGTCTCGCGCTTCCCGGGTACTTTTATAGCTGCGTGACGCGTGCAGTGAAGACGACGAGGAGGAGGAGGAGGGTGAACATCAGCAGTCCAACGTCATGGGTTAAGAGCTCTGGCATCATCCTCACTTACGTCGGTTAAACAGCTAATTGGAGAAGTCTTTTGTTCGAATCATCAAAACACTTCTGCTTGGATTACACATTTTCTAAACAGCTTTGTCCAGTCAAACAGGCAAAAAAACAAGTTCTTACCTGAAACTAGGAAATCATGGGCCCCAGTGCACAACATTGAATGCCTCCTCCCATACGAAAATGACTTTTAATGCATAAATAAACAAAAACAAAGTCATTTGCTTGTTATTGGCTATTTTTTATACCTCAAGCAAGTTTATGCTTTCAACACATGCCGCTTTCAGGCTGAGATCAACAAGTTATTGGGCCTCAGGCACGAATGTTTAGTGGGCCCCTACCTGGCTACCGGGATTTTTTTTTTTTATGGTATCCAGTGGCGTCTCTGCCATAGAAAGTCTGGTGGGGCACAATGAACTGTTGGGGCAGCAGCCAACTCGTCAATGAAACTACACACAAACCTGATCCAAACACAAACGCACAATCACAAAAAAAACTAACGTAACAGTGCAGGAGTTAGTGGAAGTGGAGAGAGGAATATGAGTGATAACGACATTAGATCTCACAAAATCTGGTAATACCGCATCGCATTACAAATCCAAAGTTATCTAGCAGCATACAATCATTGTGGTCTGCAACTACATGTCCAAAGCAACATTTAAGAGCAGGGAAACACATCGCTTTCCGGGCATTAGGAATACACACCTTGTATTAATGCAAATTGACTCACCAGTGACGTTCACTGCTCGAAAGGGAAAGATGCATGACGATCTTTCATCTGGGCAAACTTGTCAAAAACTTTTCTCTCAAAGTCCACCAATCCTTGAATGAATTCAAGTGATGGCATATCAAGGGCAGGCAAGGAAAGCAGAAGAGTGTTTTTTAGGTATACTTGCAGTTAGCCGTGTTTTTCTCTTGAAACTCTCTGGATTGAAGAAGCAGTTTTTGTCCTTTCCAGACTAAATGATGTTAAAATTCTATGGCTGGTGTGGTCCCAAACATTTAATCTCTAATTTCTGTTCTAATGGCAGTGTATCAAAGTTAACTTTTATTATATTTACGACTTGACTCATTATATTGCCTTGATGAGTGAGTGGCTTCCACAACTGATGAGGTACTATGGCTAGCTGCATAGCAATGCCCACACCGTAAACGATGTTTACTAAACGTTGGGACATATGTAAATTTATTATGTTTTATTGGCTGCTCTGAGCATGGAGCCAACGTGATCGTGCCCCAAAGCTGGTTATTGAAAGCGTGTTGAAAAAGTGCAGAGTGTTTTTAAACTGCTCACTTAGTTAGACGAGCGCTGACGGGCTGGCCCCACACAAAGCGAAGACTGCTAGAAGAAATAGGTAGCCTGCTGGCATTTACACAACAGGTACACAAAAATATTTGGAATGTATCGGACAGCCCTACCATTGTTATAACAAAACATATACACCAATTCCCCCTATAAAGACAACAAATTAAAATTAAACAGCTGAAATATATAATAAATACAAAAAAAACATCAGCAAATTGTCAAGCATCTTAAGCTGAAGAATACTACCATGGTGGGCCTGAATATTTTTCCATTTATATCTTATATCTTGAGATGGTCTGCAGTTAAGGATATGGAACCAAATATAGGAAAGGACATTTTTTTCTAAGTAATTTTAAAAGTATTTGACTAAGATTAATAATATGTCATACAAGAAGCCGACATATCTAAAAGTTTGTTTATAGCACCTATGGATTATTCACTTGAAAGTGCTAGGAGTGCAGACTCACTGCGAGTTATTTACATGCTTCAAAATGGGGCTATATTACAGCCACTGAGACGATGATTAAAATGATGTAGGTGTGAAGTCTGTGACTTACACACATAACTCAGATATCGTAAAAGACTTACAAAGAAAAATGTTACTTTTAAGGTACAAAAGCCATGTTGAATCTGGAGAAATATCTTTCTGATTGCTGTAACTCTTTGTAGCTGACATTGCTATGGGTAGATGAGTAGATGAGTAAAAGCATATTCTACTTGAACCTGTTTAACCCCTTAAATAGCCAGGTCCCACCAGCAGGCTCACAGTTTTATCACACACTTTTATAACCTAAGAATAGGTCAACCAGTTTGCACTGAAGTCCCTGTAGTTACTGAATATTAAGGCTTAGTATGTAATAAGCCTGAGATTTTGAGGTGCTAACTACAAAAATGTTAATGTTACATTTTACCCGATGTTATGCCTTGCTAAGATTTGACTGTGTGATTCTGTGATTCCTGTATGCTTCATCCAAAGCAGATGTTGACATGGATTCAAGCTTTTTGAACACCTTTAGTGGCAGGCAGTGTGCTGCAGCAATCAGAAATTTCCATTTCTTTTCATTTTGGACCCTTACATCACAACAACACATTAATGACAGTAATAGTTCCTAGCTAGCGTTAACTTAATCCAACAAAGTTAATCTAAAGTGGGTTAGCCAGCTATACTAAAAACATTCTTACATCAGTATTTGTGGTTCAAGTGGGGTTTCCACAAACTACTGTTAAAATGTCTGGCATCATTTGTCATATTATTTATTTAATAATAACATAGAGTGTAGTTTAAATACTACAAGACAGACACCAGAAAGGATTCAAGATTTTTTTCCAATTGAGGGTATGTTATGCTAAATAATATACTACGCTATGATTATTTATTTATAGTCATGTTTTATTATCTACCTCAAGATTTGATCTGTTTTTTGAAATAGGAGTTATTCTGAATGTTCATTATAATTATAACTACATTCTCAATGCTATACAGCTTTCCCAGCCATTTTAGAATCTTCAACAGCTCTGTTCATTCTAGAAACATCTGGCATTTACTCATTTTTACAGCTTTCTACAAATTAGTTTAAACCTATACTGTTGTAAAGTAGCAGTATCATATTAAATCATTTTATACATGTATCTGCAACAAAATTAATTTCATGTCATTAAAAAGAGTGATTAAAAAGAGTGATCAAACCTTAAATGGTAGTGTAAAGACATACAGTACATTTATAAAAGTAAAGTATTCATCCCTTTGGTTTTCATGTTTTATGATCGTAGAACATTTAATCACAGTGAATTTATTTGTTTTTTCTTTACAGCCATGCATAGAAATAGACTTTCATATCACAGTGAAAACAGCTCTGCAAAGTGACAAACTGATTACAAATATAAAACACTAAGTACTTACGCAAGTGTTCCCCCTCTTTATTTTGACTCATCACTGGTGCAGCCAATTAGTGTTAAACAACATATAATTAGTGAAATTGAGATAAGTTGTTTACAGTCAAAAGGTGTCAAATGACTGTAGAAAGGGCCAACTTGTTGTGAGTCAGTATCATGGCATAATCCACACCATGACACTCCAAGCAACCCCATGACAAGGTGATTGAAAAGCACAAATCAGTGGATGGATGCAAGAACATTGCCAAGTCACTAAATATCCCTTGGCATACAGTTAAATCAATCATTAAGAAATGGAAAGAGCATGGCACAGCTGTAAATCTGCCAACACTGCATGTCATCATGAACCCACCATCCCTACTGTGAAGCATGGTGGTGGCAGCATCATCAAGCTGTGAAAATGCTTCTCTGCTGCGGGCCCTGGAAGGCTTGTGAGGGTACAGGGTAGAAAGAATGCTGCAAAACACAGTAATCCTGGAGGAAAACTTTATGTAGTATGGAAGAAACCCAGGCCTTAGGAAGATTTGTCTTTTGGCACGAAAGTGACCCCAAGCATATAGCCAAAGCTACACAGGAATGGCTTAAAAGCACCAATGTTAATGTCCTGGAGTCCAGATCTTAAACTGGAACTGAAAAAGGCTGTTTACTGATGATCCTCATGCAAGTGGACAGAGCTTAAGCAACTGCAATGTCCAAACCTGCAACAAACAAAAACGAATTAAATCCACTCAAATTCAATGTTCTGTGATAATGAAACATGAAAATTTTCAAGACAGTCAATACTTTTTATAGCCACATTTTTTGTTTTTTAATCTTCACCACTCTCATTCATTTCAACTAACACTGCTTTTTAAATTCTATTGCTTTTTCAAAGTAAAGCAATACGGCCATCTTTTCTTTAAAATGAAAACCTATGAATGCTCAAAGAACCCATCCATAGAAGTTTAAGTCTAGGATAATCATCACTGATTCATGGAATAGCATTAGTTTCACCTGAGTTAACACCTACTATAAATGATCTTTAACCTGTAAATGGTATTCACTTGGTTGTCGGTGTCAGTTGTGATTGGTCCTTTACTTTCATTCAGGAGTCTTTATTGATTGTATTGTGTTAAAATAAAAACTACATAGGTATCCATTGTACAAAAAGCCTATAAAAAAAAACAAAACAGACTTCAAATCACATAGCATTGTGACTGTGGTCTTGGCTCTTTGCTTTCAATCTAAGGGAGAGGTCATTGCAGCCATACTGGCCTTTAGATAGGAAAAAATTTACATATTATAGCATCCAATTAGAAGGGCAGTTGTGGCCATGGCTGTAGGACCTCTGTGAGTCAAGACAACAAAAACCATGTCACCAACAACACTGTAGTGAGGGACTAATCAAAGCCCAATTTGTCAGTAACAATGGACCCTATCACAGAGGTACCATCTTTATTATGGCTGTGTCTCAGCATTTATTACAATAACAGTGGTCACAATAATACAAACGTTTAAATTAATACTTGCTCTGCCACTTAAAAATCATGATTGTTTTTGTGTGTTATTACATATCAGAAAAACACACCTATAAACAATTGAACTGATTAATTAGGTCAAAGCTGAGCACGATCTTTGAGGTTTATATTGTTGTATCATTTCAATGCTTTGTGAGAGCAAGTTACAAAACAGCCTTATATTGGTTGGTCGATAAAAGTGACTCAAACAATTCACAGTTAGTATAATGTC